GGCTATCAAAAGATATAGCATCTGGGGTCTTAAAGGCTTGCAGATAAACAAGCAGTCATCTAGCTGAGAAGCAACAAAGCCCAATTGGAAGAAGCACCCCAGCCTGTGTGATCATGAGGTGTTGATGAGATCAGGTATCAGGCATCAAAGACCCAGAGCAAAAAATCATAATGTAAATCGGGGAAACAAAAACCCCCAAACGTGAAACAAACTCACAGCCATTGAGTCGATTCCACTCAGAGTGACCATATAGGACCGAGTACAATGAATCCTATAGGTGACTAAGGCTGTAACTTTTTACCTCATCTTTCTTCTCCAGTGGAACAGCTGGTAGATTTGAACTGCTGCCCTTGGCTAGCCGCCTAACACATAACTTACTACTCTACTAGGGCTCCGTCTTTCATGAATAGATATTTTAAATTCTTCTCTTCTGACCTAGGTTCATATTCTTTTATATCTGCCTCCTCCCCAGGTTCTACACAGTTCCTTCACATGGTGGCCCAGAAGACTTGCTTAGGGAATTAGAATCTGGAAAGTTAGAGGGGAAGTCACCGAGTGAATCAGATCAGTTCACACTGGTGTGGGCTGAAGCTACACAATAACTTCAGTTCCAACTCAGTAGCTTTAGTCTTTCTCGGTGTCCAGTTGCAGTATTGCTGCCCTGTCGATGTTTTCCTACTCTTTGGGGGGGGGGTGTTGGGAGGATGGTGTGTGTGTGTGTGTGCCCCAAGAAAGTATCGCTCAAGGCAAAGATGAAAGCATTGACACTTTGGAAGATGCTTGGCCAGGCGTGGTGAGAAGAAAAAGGACAGAGCAAGGAGGCAGAAGAAAGAGGAACGTGAGGGTACACACATGCCTCGCTGGACTCCACTTTGCTTTAAGGCGGTCATGGCACGTGGCTCGGCAAGTGCGATGGCCCGGGACTCCCTCAGAAGATGTGCAAGGAGAAGACACACCTCTGAGTGGTCCGCAGACAGGGGCATCAGGGCTTATCTGCTCGGTCTCCCCGTCTTTGTGCTGTGATTTCACACACGCTCCTACGTGGAGGGTGAACGCAGCCCTCAATGGAAGGGAAAGAAGACGATGGTTGTGGGGATCCAAGAAGGTACCGTACCAAAGTTTATGCCCAGTCCAGCCCATACCTTGTGCTCCTCAGGTGCTTTTGTGCTCTCCTTTACACAGCGGTCATATGCCATTGAGGGGACCTCCATTTCCCTCAGAACAAAAATATCCTCCCTCCTTCCCTGGACTGACTGGAGGTATATGCCCCATCAGTGACGGAGGCCTCTTCTGTCATTGATCCGTGTGGATGACCTAGAATGGGGTCAGTAAGCTTTTGAGATGGAAGAGCCGATCCTGTCCCTCACAGCAATTTGAAAATTAATCTAGAGCCATAAACATTTTTACAAATAAGGAAAATTTAAAGTACCATATATACTCGAGTATAAGCTGACCCGAATATCAGCCGAGGCACCTAATTTTACCACAAAAACTACATTAAAAAATGTGCCGAAAAACTCGGCTCATACATGAGTATATACGATAATATTATTTATAAGTGAAACTAGGATCGTTTTGTTTTCAACTTCTCTTTCACTTCAGAGCCACATGCATACACTGAAACAGCTGCATATGGCTCACCAACCACAGTTTGCCCTTGACCTAAATGATTGCAGCAGAAAGTGCGAAGCAAGTTCATGCTTTGCTCTTGTGGTTGGCTGGTCACGAGACTGCCATTGATATATGCCCTATTCCTCCTCCAGTGTCATTCTGGATTTCCTTCACCCTCTGATAGCACTGTTGGATGTTCTGTGACATTGCCCTGAGGGTGGTGGTGTTGCCTAGCCCATGCAGTGAGGCCGAATGCAGGACGATCACAGGCCAGTGGGTGGAAAGTCTTGTGCATCCAGTGGTGGTAGAGACATCTCAGCGCTGGCAGGGGTTTCCACGAGTCTCCTTCATCCCCAGGGCTCTAACTAGCTCCATGTGTCTTGTCAACAGGAGTGTCTGAGTGTCCCACCTCCAATGAGCTATTTATCTCCTCAGCACCTCCAAATGAGGTCATGGAGCTGCGACCTGACTGACAGGCTAGACTCCACCCCTCCACAAATTGACACCAGATTATATAACTATCATAGAGCCTTTCCCAGGGTTCTTGGGTCCTGAGTTTCCAAGGATTTGTCTTATGGGATTCTTCCATCTGGGAGGTTGACACCGTCACTTCTTTTGTACCCTACAGAAATCAGGATGAAATGGCCCACACCTGCCGGGGCACCATCAACCTGTCCACAACGCACATTGACACAGAGGACTCTTGCAACATCCTGCTGACCAGTGGGGCAAGGACCTACCACCTCAAGGCCAGTTCGGAGGTGGAGCGGCAGCAGTGGATTACCGCCCTGGAGCTGGCCAAGGCCAAAGCGGTCCGCATGATGAACAACCATTCAGGTACTGAGCCTGCGGGGCGGCGGGCAGAGGTGTGGGAGCTGACAGGGTGAGTGGGTGGCGGTGGCCAGGAGACAAGGTGCTGGAGGGTGGCTACCAGCTCTGAGGGAGGAGCTTTGCAAGCCTTTCTGTGGCCACACCCACTGCTCTTGTGCTCGGCCCTCGGTGCTGCTGCACATCACGTCCAGAAGCAGGAAGCAGCAGTCGTCCACGGTGGGAACCCAGGCTCCGGGGTCAGTGTTCTGGGTCAGGCTTTCTCGGCCCCATTGTAGTGATTGAAAAGCATGGGCCAGGGCTGAGACAGGAGTCCTAAGCAAGACATTTTGTTTCCTTGTAGAAAATGAATATTTGTAACATGCATTTTTATAAGATTCCCAAACCAATTACTTCAAAAGCTTATATGATGAAGTCTGCCTTTGACCACTGTCCTTAGCTACTCAATTCTCTCACTGACACGCAACCAGTATCTGTGTCCTATATTTATATATATGAGCTATCTATGTCTACCGTGTGTGTGTGTGTGTGTGTGTCACGGTGGTGTCGTGGTTACCAGCTGGGCTGCGATCTGCATGGTCAGCAGTTTGAAGCCAACGGCAGGTCCACAGGAGGTTGTCTGGGTTTTCTTCTCCTGTAAGCAGTTACAGTCTCAGAAACCCGCAAAGGGTTGCTTTGAATCAGCATTGACTCGACAGCAGTGTTTTCTTCTCTTTATATATTTATGATATCCTGTGCTAGACATATCATTTATGTACACACATACAGAAGTATGAATTGATTTAAAAATAAATACCATGTTCCACCTAGCTTTCCCCCAGGCATATTTAGCAGAATATCTTGGAAGTATTTTCTCTGTTATCATATGAAAATCTTCCTTTTGTAAAGGAGGGTTTATTTCATTTAATGACATACCATCATTTTCTGAACCTCCAGCCCTCTCATTCCCTTAGCAGTCACTTAGGTTGCTTCCTTCCTGGGCTGTGACATACCGTGCGACAGCGTCTAACCCTGCATCTACTTCATCTCATGCGCGTTCAAGTCTACATGCAGTCTGCTCTCTGGGAAGTGGAGCCATGGGGCCAATGGGTGCGCCCATTAGTAATGCCGAGCCATGTTATCAAAGCATCCCCCATAGGGATTGGATTGCCAGGCGCTTACAAGCTGTGTGTGAGAATGCTGGCCTCCCCACATCCTCGCCTGCCCAGAACAATAACAAATGTTTCTGACTGGCAAAAAAACCCCCAAAACAGTCCGTAGACACAGGGAAGGGGTTTTAGGACGCTGTGGTCCTTCTGAAGCCATGAGCCAAATGGTCCATGTTGTACAGCTCAGTGTGGATTTTTGGTGAAGCTGGGTGATAGATGAGCGTGTGGTCCAGCCCTGGTGCTCCGGAGGAAGCGAGGAAGCCTGCTGGGGAGCTCTAGCACAAGGCAGGATGAGGAATGACCCTGAGCCAGATGCACCCTCAGCACTAGCTGTCAGTGAGCGTTGAAGAGCCTCATGTATCAGCCTGGCCTGCTAGTCTCACCCCCTCGGAGCATGGGCTTCCCCGCAGTAACTAGTCTCCCTGGGATCGGCAGTCACATGGCTCTGACATATTAGCAGAAATTCCTCAGCTTGGCAAGGAGTCTCCAAGATTCCACCCAATTTTCTGGTGAAGCAGAGTCTTGGGGTCATTCCAGGCATGAATGGTGCCAAGAACTCCGCAGGAACCTAGCCCAGCCTGGACCGGCTGTGGTCTCAGTTAGCCTGGCTGTAGGGAAATGACAATTGATGGTGTAGTGGGTCTCAGGACAGCCATGTTGGTCAGTGACACTACTGATCATGGAAGAACGAATTTTCTTTCTGGCTTCTCCTTTCTAAGTTTTACAAGTTGCCTGACCCTCGAGGAATTTCCTGAAAATAACAGAGAAGGTATTATATATTGGATTAGTCAGTCTAAAGCAATTTTCCTGGGACACTCAGCCAGGAGCAATTTATTTTGCAGCTGGGGATGAAGTGTTTGCCAACACAGCCGGGCGGCGCTAAAGCCTCCTAGCCTGGGCTTCCTCCAGGGCAGGGGAGAACCCTTGCAAGAGGGCTTCACTTCTCTTGGCCTCATTTTGTGGGTGCTCAGGGGCTGGAGAGGCAGCACATGGCGTGTGTCCCCAGGGGGCTAGCCTTCTGGGCAGGGACAAAGGATAGAGATGGTGTTCAAGGTGGCACGTGTTAAGTGCCAGCGAGGAATGGCAGGCTTCCTTGCCAGGATTTTGACTTTTGAAGCCCAAATGAGCTGAAGTATGCAAAGGAGAAGCCTTTAGGCAAGTACTGCACATTAATCGAAAGATTGAGACAACCTGACTCTGTAAGGCAACAGTCCCCTCCCACCGTTCTCAGGCTCACGTAAGTAAGCCTGTTTGGGGTCTGCGTGTGTTAGAGAAGACTGCTTGGTGTGACTCTCCCGGGGCCCTGCTGAGGACACCCATCTGGGTCAAAGGGCATGGACAGTGATCCACGCTTGTGGATCAGCCATTGTCTGGCTGCCCCTTTCTAGACTGAATTTTCTCTTGAAATGGCCTGCTGCTCTCTAGCTTTCCTGCCTCCCCCCAGGCCGGGCAGGTACCATTCTTTATGACCTGCGTGTGTGTAGCAGTTCCCTGAGCCTGTCTTTAGTCCTTTCTCCAGATAGCAGCCAGAGGAACGTGTTGACAATTGGAATTTCACCTCGTCACTGCAACGCTGAACACTCAGGTCCTACAAGCCAACTAGAGCTAACAGAAGGCGCCAGGTGACAGCAGCAGAAGACACCGTCTCCTTTAGACTCTATGTAGCACGGCTCTGGATACCTGCAAACCGTACTGAAATCATTCCGAGGTGTGCTCTCCGACCACAGTGGGCAGACTTTGAAATCAAGGGCAGAAGGAAGACTTGGAAAAGTCATGACTACGTGGGAATAATTGCATGCTCTTAGCCAATGGGACACAGAAGAAATCACAGGGAAACACTTGGAGACTAAAACTTACAGATGCAATTCAAGAAGTGTTTAGGGGGACATTAATTGCCGAAAATGTTTGCATTAAAAAAAGATCTATCACTGAATAACCTAGGTTTACATGGGAAGGAACTAGAAAATGAAGAAAAATAAACTCCAAGATAGCAGAGGAAAGGGAATCGTGACAGCTATTAAAATAAACACAACCAAACCATAAACTCACCACCATTGAGTTGACGACAGCTCATAGCAACCTTCCAGGAGGGTCGAATCCCCACTGTGGGTTTCCAAGGCTGTTAGCCACCATCCCACCAAGTCTCTGGAGAGACATGATAGACCACGGGAGACAATGAACAACGAGTCAGTGAAACCAGCAGTTCATTCTTTGAAAGATCGATTAAATTGACCAATATTCAACTCTTAAAAAACGCACTGCCGTGGAGTCGATGCCAACTCACAGTGACCCTGTAGGGCAGAGAAGAACGGTCCTGTGCATCTCTGAGACCGGAAGTCTTTCCTGGGGTAAGAAAGCCTCATCTTTCTCTCACAAAGTGGCTGGCGATTTTGAACGACCGACCTTGCAGTTAACAGTACAAATTGTAACCCATATGCCACCAGGGCTCCAATACTTAACGAGATTAAAGAGAGAGAGAGATCCAATAATTAAAATCAGAAAAGAAAGCTTGAACATTACTACCAATCTTACAGAAATAAAAAGAATTAGAGGGAAAAACAATGGACAATTGCACGCCAATAAATTAGTCATCCTACAGGAAATGAAAATTTTCTGTAGTTGTATCATTAGGTGTCATGGAATTGGTTCCAACGTAGAGTGACCCTGTGTGACACTGCCTGGTCCGCACCATCCTCACAATTGTTCCTGTGTCTGAGCCCATTGTTGGGGCCACGGGGTCCGTCCATCTCCTTGACAGCTTTCCTCTTTTTTGCTGCTCCGTAGGTTACCAAACAGGATGTCCTTCTCCAGGGACTGGTCTCTCCTGACAAGAAGTACTTGAGACAAAGTCCCCTCACCCTTGCCCCTAAGGAACATCCTAGCCATACTTCTTTAGAGAACGTCTGCTTGCCCTTTTGACTGGACATGGTCCTTTCAGTGTCCTTGGCCTGCACCACAATTCAAATACATCAATTGTTCGGTCTTCCTGACTCAGTGTCCAACGTTCACGTGTGTACAAGCCAATGGGAAAACACCGCATCTTGGGTTAGGTGCACCTTACTCCTCAAGGTAACATCCTTGCTGTTCAACACCTCGGAGAGGTCTTGGCAGCGATTTACCCAATGCAGTTTGTTGTTGAGGTTCTTGGCTGCTGCTTCCTAGAGCACTGATTATAGATCCAAGCAAGATGAAATCTTTTCACCACTTATCATGGTAGTATCTGTTGGTCCGGTTGTGAGGATGGGGGTCTTCTTTGCGTTGAGTTGTCATCCATACTGAGACTGCAATCCTGGATCTTCATCAGCAAGTGCTCCGAGTCCTCCTCCCTTTCAGCAACCAAAGTCGTTTCATCTGCATATTGCAGATTGTTAATCAGTCTGCCTCCAATTCTGATACCACGTTCTTCTTCATATAATCCAGCTTCTCTGCTGATGTGCTCAGCATACAGATTGAATAAGTATGGGGAGAGGATACAACCCTGATGCACACCTTTCCTGATTTTAAACCCTGTAGTATGCCCTTGTGCTGTTTGCACAGCTGCCTCTCGATCCAGGGACAGATTCCTCGTGAGCACAATGAAGTGTTCTGGAATTCCCATTCTCTGCCAGGCCATCAGTTGGTTATGATCCACGTAGTTGAATGCCTTGGCGTTGTCAATGAAACACAAATAAACAATGTTCTTGTATTCTCTTCATTGAGGCAGGATCCATCTGACATCAGCAACGATCCCCCTTGTTGCACAACCTCTTCGGAATCCAGCCTGACCCGCTAGCAGCTCCCTGTCAATGCACTGCTGCCTCCGTTGTGGGATGGTCTTCAGTAAAATTGTATTTGCATGTGGCATTAATGAGGTTGTTCTACAATTTGAGCATTCTGTTGGGTCACCTCTCTCTGGAATAGACACAGATATG